ATAAGCGAGGATTGTCAAAACTATTTGTCGCATTTTTATTTTCTACAGCAACCAAGACTTCTACAGCAACGGGATTATCTTACTACCTACAAGATGACAACAAGTTATCGAACTAAATGGCACATATATACATATATTATAATTAAATGTAATTAGACTGAAAAAAATGTCTTGAATTTGTATATAAAATAAGAAGAACATTTTTCCCAGACCTAATATATACAAGTAAAAATACGAATGTTTCTATTTCAGACCTTCCACATGTTTTACACGCTAAATTGAAATATCGTGTTTTCCTGAAAAGTGGATCAACGTCGGGAACATTTCCGCACGATGATTTTTACGATTTCAAATTTCGCCCAAAACGGGATGAATAATTTTATAGACTTTAAATGGAATCTATGTACATTGGCACTTCTAAGGAAACGTGTACCACCTGATATACCAAATTTCAGTACGGTCGACTACTAAAGAAAGGAAAGAGCACCCTTTGACGAACTAAAAAACGAACAAAAAGAAGTGGTCGCTCTAAACCGGGTGTTAGGAAGGAAATGTGCGAGTATTTAATATTTTAATTAAAGAAATAGACGAATTACGTATGAAGAGATTCAGCTCATATTTCAGTTCGGGTTCGGGTTCGGGTTCACAGAAACGTTCGCGACACTTTATACAAACACTTTCGCATAAGAATAGTTTCGGGGTTGGGTGCCGCCCAATCTCACCGATACTTAGAAGCAGACCATATAGATTCATATAGACCATATATATAGGGCAATATAGACCATATACGTAGGTCACTGAATAAGTTTTGAGATGCTCGAAATTTAAAATTGAAACGCATGTTATATGTGTTATATGTTTCTAAAAAGCAAATTTATTTAAAAATAGAAAGAATTTAAAAATAGAAAAAAAAAGAACTCCATAAGCCAAATGCTCAATATTAAAAAAAACAAAGTTCTATTAATTTTCCTGCAACGCTTCCCGCGCTTTTCATTTAAAACGATGGATCTTAACCGTGCACATTTGCGCGCTATGATATATTATGATTTTGAATTTGGTTTAACCGAACAATTAAGTTTACAACGGTTACAATCAGCATTAGGGGACTCAGCTCCATCATGCGCAACAATTTTTAGGTGGTTTGCTGAATTCAAAAGGGATAAAATTAATCTTAAAGATGACCAAACCGGGGCCCCGCAAACAGCAGTAACGGCAGAAAATGTATGGACTACTGAAATGGAAACTAGGAAACATCGAATAGGAAGCTTTGTTGTCGATGGATCCCTGGTTTGCTCTCCGAAAGCGAAAAACAGACTCGTGTGGAGTGGTGCCATGAAATCTGTCTACGTTTTGAAAACGGGGCATCTAGGCGTGTTTCAGAAATCGTTACGGGTGACGAGACATGGATCTATCAATATGATCCGGAAAATAAAAGGCAATCATCGGTATGGGTCTACTCAGAAGGACAGTTACAACAGTCGGCAACAAAATGGTGGCTTGTTTTTTCGCGGAGCAGACATTTGTCGACGTCAATGCTGGAAAATTGTAGGCCAGTCAACTCTAAATGGTATAGTACAGTTGCATTATCCAAAGCTGTTCAAACTGTGCGGGAGAGAAGACCAAAGACCGGGCTTCGGGGAATCATGCTGCATCACGATAACGCCTCTTCACATACCTCCCTTAGAACAAAAGCATTTATTGAGGAATCTGGTGTTGAAACTCAATACTTTTTGTATATCTCAAAACTTATTGAGTGACCTACGTATATAGGGCAATATAGATCTTGCTGCGCAAAGTACAAGGAACGTTATCCAATCATATTTTATGTGGAAAAGAACATGGAGTGGAATGTATTAAATACCATTCAGACTTGGTTAAAATGAAAATGAAGTAGGTCAGAACACGAGCTATCGCTTCGTAATATCTTATGGGATAGTCAGCTAGGTATTATTTATTTAGTTATAAGGTCACCGTTGCATAATGTACAGTATGTGCACTTATGGAACATAAAAGTCCAATGCCATGCTACATGATAATGTGAATAAAAAAATTGTATATCGTTTCGCTAAAGGTACGATACTCTAATATGTTTGGATATTATACGATATTCTTGATTATAATCTATCTAATACATATAAATTAAATTGAATAAAATTGAATTGATTGATTCTGGCTGTAAGATCGTAATAACTGCCTTTTATTGAGCTGGGGATTATTTCCATGCTAAAGACATGAATAACCATTTTTAAAATTTATATCTGTTTGTAAGTCCGGGCTAATCTTCAAAATGCCTGAACCGATGGTAAACTTGACGAAGAAGAAGAGAGCAATACCAGGAGTGGTCTAGGCTATATTTTACCTATTATATTTAAAATAAGCGGTAAAATAAAAAAAATGTACAACCGACTTCAATAAAAATAAAATGAGAACATAATGATGTAGTCTAAATCATTTAAATATGCATTATTAAGGATAACTCAAAGACTACTCGTCAGATCGTGATCAAATTTATATGGAACCACATGGGAAGTACCAGGTTTCAAATAAGAAAAGAACCATCAAAATCAGTTCACCTAGAAACAAGTTAAGGTAACAGACATAAAAAAAATATAGGTAGTCGAATTGAGTACCTCCTTCTTTTTTTGAAGTCGATTATGATAATGGTCTTTGATGATTATCTTAAATCTAACATTGGTATGTCCACGCGAAACCAGGGCGGGTCGCTAGTATATAATAACAATAAGATATTATTAACAACTAAAACCGTCACCTATATACTACGAGTGTCAAAAATTTTGTTGACACTCATCTGTTATTAGATGATGATATAAATAATATTTGAACATGTTTATATCGTGGTAATCAATCATAACGTACATCAATACCTACATAGAAAATACGTTTGAAGCATAAATAATTCAATCGAATCACGTGTCACTGGTTTCGATAACATGAATATATTTTCATGTGTTATGCTATTAAAATACCAATAATGAATCCTTAATAAGATACTAATGGAAAGTCATTGATGCTTTTACCATTGGTTCGGAAAAAATACCTCTATTCTGTTAAGAACCAGCAAGAAACCCAGCTACTTTTAATTATCTTCAATGGAAGCACGTGTCATTGTTTTTGATATTAGATATTAATATTATGTTTGATGCCAAACAAATAGCAATAATGAATCCTTAAGAAGATACTAATGGGGCCATTGATGCTTTTACCACTGGTTCGGAAAATTCGGAAAGGAAAGTTCTGTTAAGAACCAGCAAGAAACCTAGCAACTTTTTTAATAATCTTTTATTGAAGCACGTGCCATTGGTTTTGATAACACTAATATATTAGTATGTTTGATAACAAACAAAATACCAATAATGAATCATTAACAAGATACTAATTGAAAGTAATCTATACTTTACCACTAGCTCGGAAAAAATCCTCTATCTTTATAAGAAAAAGAACCAGCAAGAAACTCAGCGAATTTTTTTTTAAATAACTTATGATTTATTTTATACAATTAAGTATAAAACATAACGTACTAGCAAGCTCTTTATTTCCAGTTTTTTTTTTATATAATCACGTATATCGAACAAAAGCAAAAGCAATGACAAAGCAAAAGCATGAGGCAAGCAAAAGGGATGACAGAGCTTGAAGCTTAAAGCTACACTTTTAAATGCGCTGATTAATAGGTATTTATTTCTAAATAAATGCCACAATAGCATACATGGCTAAAAGAGTTATAATTGTATGGTTGGATTGGAAATATATCGTTCATTAGGTAATATGAGCTCATCGCCGGATAGAACTATCATTTCTGACGGCTACTACCAACAGTTGATGAGGTTCATAAATTTATTAGAAATAAAACGCATTCAGCAAGATAACGTTAGATCCCATGCGAAGTTATGATGTAAAACACACACATATAGGTATAATAATTCGAGAAAATGTGCAGTTTATAATGCGATGAAACTTTACTGGAACTGGACCTACCTATTACGACAAAATTTTCTTCATTTTAAAACACCAAAACGTTTTGTTTTTGCATCGTCGGCTCCATTATATCCATTGATTTAAACAGAACGAAGTAATATTTATACTCGTATATGTATATGTAAGTCAATGATTAAGTATAATACAATACATATTTGTTAACTGACTACGGAGACAAAGAAGAGTTAATTATGAGATAAATGTACCTACAGCATTTGCGATTTTTGTTGATTGTTGTAGATAAAAAGATTTAGGGCAACATTACAAACGTATTGTTTGATATATAGGTAATTAGGTAATATACTGTATATGTGCATCTAATATATCTTATTTATATGCTTCTTTCTTCACAAGGTCATAACTTCATTCATATATAGCAAAGATGGCTACAGAAAACGTTCCTCATTGCAATGTACCACACATCTGTGCCTACCTATCACAATGGCACGCTGTGACCTTGAAACCCAACTGCATTTTAGATATTGCACACAAATAATAAAGTATGTTCTACCTATATAGGTAAAAAGATCAGCAGTACCCATATGGGTACTACTGATCTTTAGATAACGGATAAATAAAAATAATTGTAATTTACAATCAAGTAATATTTCAATTTTAAATTGAGTAGGTAATATGTGTAGTATCAAATTTTACAATTATGAAAACAAAGGATATCGCGTTAGATACACAAATCCACAAAAATAAAATTGAAAATTTAATTATGTAAATAAAACCATTATCGAGATATTTCCGCGTTATATAAAAAGCCACTCCATTAGCTTCTGTAATCCTTCTGAGCAATGAATCATGAATGTCATTATCATTTGAGAAGGTAATAAAATTTACGTGCCCTTATTTACCATCATCTATAACAAATGTCTTACGCTGACATTTTAACGTAATTCAAATAATAAACAAAAGCAAATGTATAATGTTATCACAAGTTAATTGAGTAAATAAAATTCAATTGAAATTTTTAACATATGGATTAGAATGGGATACATTACCTCGCTCACTACGTAGGAGGCTGCGGAAAGCCGTAAGGCTCAGTTTATGTTGCACGACCGAACTATAGCGATAAGCCCCGCGCACTAATAAAAGCAGCGACACGACATGCCGCCAGAGGGCACCCACACACACGAAGTAAAAGGTAAAAGCTCCCGCATCCATCGATCCACCCTTTAGCTTGCCCCCCAGCAGATACTTTCGCTTTTATTCTCAAAGCAACAACGCTTCTATTCGTTCGCTCACATTCATTCTGAAGACTCAGGAGAATGTTATAGTCGGCAATCCCTCGATGACGTAGATAGCAGACCTACCAATGACGTTCGCACTTGATTCTTTTTAAATGCTTTCAAGTATTGTTCTTTATAATTATATATATTATCCAGTTAGTTAAGTTAAGTTGCCAGTGATGACCTATGGAACTGAGACGTGGTCCTTCACTCCATCTAATGGGGGGACGCCTCAGTGTAGGGCGTACCCCCATTAGATGAAGTGACGACCTGGTAAGATATGCAGGAAGTCGATGGATGCAGGTGGCTCAGGACCGTACTTTGTTGCATTCCTTGAGGGAGGCCTATGTTCAGCAGTGGACTTGTGATCATCATTACAGCCCTAATGATGATGATATATTATCCTATACTTTAAAATGGGCAATTCTTGTTTATATGTTAATACATAATATGTCATTGGTTTCGTAGAAACGCAACGATGTTATATAGGTACAAAAAGAATCGCAAACAACTCTTATTAGAGCCGTTTCCGATTCTTAGGATGAAACTATTTATTTAGATAATATTTTTTACTCGTTTTTTATTTACGTGGTAAAGCCATGCTGCAGCTATATTAGTAGTATAGTTGTAGCACGAATGGGTCGTCTCGAACGGGGAAGGACCACGCTCTCACAGAATACCATCGTAAAATGGCAGCTCGACACTGCTGTTTCGTATGGTGAGTGTAAAGAACCGGAGACCCATTTTACTGGAAAAGAGGCATTCCATCTTAGTCCTCACGGGTGACGACGCATCTGCATTTTGATTCTTTATTGAGGATAAATGTAGATGTCTATGGGTCACAGCAACCACTTACCGTCAGGTGGACTGTGTGCTCGTTTGTCAGTTTCCTATAAAAAAAAAAACTCCAAATTTATCTAGATAGACCTAATATACACCTGAAAAAAAAATTCTAACGTCGAGCAAAGCTCATTCGCCCAGGTACTCCTACTTAAATTTAGGATATCGATTTTAATAAAAACAACAGATTAAACAAACAATATAACTTTATTTTGCATACGAAATGATTAAATCACAACATACATATTATTTCAAATGATTAGAGTCAAATAATTGACAGTGTCAATTATACATAATATATTTTACTACTAAAGTTACTAAACTATGTACAACATCATATTAAATGGTATGTTGCATCACTTTTAACATATAGATAACAAAGATAGTGCAGCTTAACATATCCTAATTTCTTTATCTAATTTTGAAATTTAATAACACCAAAGTTAAGTATAAAAAAACAGAAAAATTTAGATTTTTTTCAATAAAAAAGAAAAAAATTGACTTCTGATCAGTTTAACATACACAATTTACATAAGTTATATATTATAATATCCATAGACAAATTGTACGTTATTAAGCAATAAGGATCCAACTTGTACTCGGGTCTGGTTGGAAATGCGACAATATTCATTAGGCTTTTATAGCGACAGTAACCTTTTTAAGGATACGTAAAAGTTACGGGTGATCAGACATTTTAATGTGCTAAACCACTTCTAGCCAAATATCTTAAGCTTAATTGAAATAGTTAAATGGGAGTATAACTAATGATAACATTGCTGGTTTTTAAATAAAACTAATTTTACGGATTTTATCGCGTATATTAATCTATTTTTTTATATTCCCGACGTTTCGGGTGCTTTTTAGCACCCGTGGTCACGGGGGACTGAGGTGTTTTTGGTTTCGGGTGCTTTCCAGCACCCGAAACGTCGGGAATATAAGAAATAGATTAATATACGCGATAAAATCCGTAAAATTAGTTTTATTTAAAAATGTGTAGTGTTCGCGTAAATATAAGAAATCATAACATTGCTGGTGTCATTTTTATAATAATTAAAAAAAAAATTCAAATAGATAGTTAAAATAATTCCAGCAGGTCATGTAAAAATTCACTCTCATAATTTTTTCCAAACTCCCCAAAAGAAGTATAACTTCAAAAATATAACCGTAAGTGCTAAGACATAATATTATAGCAAGGAATCAAAAACCCTAATTCATAATGTGATATTACTTTATCCTTTTTAGTACTTTAACCTCGCCGACTTTTACTTTTAACTAAAAGTTCATTTTTGTGGGTACCTTTTTGCATAAGAACGTACAATTATAAACTTAACTCCCTATAAGTATTCCAATACAATTTCCTTTCTTTTATTATTTACAAATAACATCCTACTGGGAAATTATTACTTAAGGAACAATATTAGGATTGTAATCACAACAGCAAATAATATATGCATATAAAAATAAAAACATATTCATAGTTAAAATTATACAAATGTCCGAAAAATAACACTGTAATTTCATAGAAATAATTCTTCAATGTAAATATTTATAATAAAATAATTTTCTTGTAACCTTTTTTCGGATTATTGAGGAGAAACTAATATAATACACGCAGTTACACCAGAAACCATTACTTTTCTGTTCATTACATGACATTCAAAAAAGTAAACACAACAGTTATTTCATTTAATCAATCCCTTTAGAAGACTCATCGGCTTTAAAACTGTAGCCGACAGAGCCGAATTCACAATAAAAAAGCACTTTATACAGCGCTAGAAAAAGGTTGTTATATATTGCTCTCTGGTCACATGAAGTTGCCTTAATAGTGTCACATTTATTAACACAAGGAATAAATAATACGAGAAATTAAAGCAGTACTATAACAAACGTAATAACGGTACTAATATTATGATTTATTTGCTGACTGTTTTAGCAGAAATTCCTCCGAGGGTCAGATCACATTACAAACTCGCGCAAAATTCAGCCGCGTATCTCAGAGTACTGCTGTGATTTCTAAACGTGGGAAAAGGAAGATTGACTGGTAGGAAGAGCTTAAAAAGCACGGAAAACTTCACAGTATTGCTTATATTATAATATTTTAGAGTTATAAAATTATTCTTCATTCAGAATAAGATGTAGTGACAAAAATTGAGAAAGGTATTTCGAGATGGTTTGGCCGTGTCGAGAGAATGAATGAAGAACGATTGACGAAAAAAGTGTATAAGGCGAGTGTGAATGAAAGTGTTGGAAGGGGTAGACCTAGGCGGACATTTCAAGACCAAATCAGGGACGTCTTGAAAAAAGGCCAGGTCAAAAGCACCCTAAACCGTAGAGCATGTATGAAGAGAATAATGAAAGTGGACGAAGCGAAACAAGTAAGGATCGTAGCAAGTGGAAAGAAGTGGTCTCTGCCTACCCCTACGGGAAAGAGGCGTGATTAAATGTATGTATGTATAAAATTATAATCTATGTCGACAAAGAAAAGAGTTTTTTGAGTGCAAAGCAGGGACTGGAACTCTTAAGGCAGCGACAGTTTTCCCAGAAGGCAAAAATTGGGTTCTACAAGACTACAGAGAACTAGAATTAGACTATCATCCAACAATATTGACAACCTTTTAAATCCTTCATGAAAACCTTATTATGTTTCTTTTTATATTTATTTGCTATAGACTGTTCTTGTCAAATCTAACGTTACAATGTTTAGGTACTCTCATTTGAAAAGATATAAAATTGTAAATCTTTAAAATTACAATTAAATGAAAAATCAATGTTGTCACGCCATACGCCCTTAGTCCAGTTAAGATAGACATTCAAGGTGAAAATAATTCGCAGAGTTGAAAATTGTTACGAATGTTCGGAACACCATTATAAATGAAACGGGAAGTCTCCATCGTTCTCACAAAAAAAATATTCAAGCTCAAAGTTCGTTTTTTTTTTGCATTTTGCAGCTAATCGGTCATTTTTATCATAAAAATTGTAGATCGTGTAATAATATATAAAAATTGTTCTTAAACTTTTTTCCCTTAATGGCGGCTCTTCACGCTGGCCAACATAGTGGCGAATGTGTAGGCCAATACCAATGGCCATCGTGTAGAGCGGGTGTTTGTGCTTACGTTGGTATGTATTGGAATTATGGCCCATAGCGCGAGATCCGTGTGGTGTTGGTTTTTTACAAAAGATCAAAGGCAGTAAAAGGCAGTTTAAAAATGGCAGTAATAATGACCAATGAAGAAACTTTTCGCTTTATAGAGCTCTACCATGCCGAAAATTGTTTGTGGAACAGAAAATTTAAATTTCTTTTTTTTCATTTTTTTTTGAACACGCTTTTCCTTTGATAGAGCTCTATAAAGTGAAAAGTTTCTTCTTCTGCCATTTTGTAGACACTAGTTCCGATGTGTGAATATAAAATTTAAATCAGGTACGTGCGTGCGATCACTCTGGGAGCTCGTAGCAAACTAAACGTGCGCCCAACGTGTGGACGCGGCGGCCAATACTCTGCCACAACCCTTTGATCTTTTGTAAAAAAACCTACACTACATAGATCTCGTGCCAAATTGTGGGCTATCATTCCAATTAGGCGTGTGTATCTCTTTACGGAAACGACTCACTGATACGAATCACTGAAGTGACACAAAAGATTGGTTCAGTAACAACGTTTCAAATGTATCATTTGGATCTGGAACAGTGAAACATTACTTTGCTCTTTGCTCATTTCGCGCGACGTGTCGCTTGCGAGGCGACTGAGCCACGAGTGAGAGAGACAGACTGAGACAATGATTAACTTAACTATTGACTCACGAGTGGCGAGTGAGCGGGCGAAATAATTATAATCCACACGAGGCGGATAGAGATAACAAATAAGAAGTGTATCACTCAACTCATACGGATTTTCGCTGACGTTAATCATGCACGTAAAAATTACCACTAAGGCGCTTATGTGTCAAATACTATACGGTCGTTTTTTGTATGTAATGTTTGCATTAACAAGTTGTCATTTTACGTTGATGCGGCACTTGTCAAATTGTTTATATTCATTAGCGCCTGTTTACGAAAACATACTGAGTTATGTTTAGGATTTCTTTGCGTAGTGATTATTGTGACTTTACTTTCTTCCTTTTCATCATAAAGTTTAGAGTTATGATACTTTACGAGTAAATTCTGTGTACATAGACATTGCTGTTTTGTGTAAATGGACATTTTTGTTAATAATGAATTGACATAGTGACATTTTTGTTGAAGTATGAAGGAGAATCGATTTTATATACAGTCTTATTACGGTACACAATAAATAATCTAAGCACTTATATTATTCAGCATTGTTGCCACATACAACATTTCACGGATCAATCAGTAATAAACGCCCGCGACGCAACTTAATGTATTCGGAACATTTCAGTGATCAAGATGCAAATGTTCCAATCGCAAAAATGATACATTTTGTCCACCTCCAATTCCAATACATACCAACGTAAGTACAAACACCCTCTCTACACGATGGCCGTTGGTATTGGCCAATACATTCGCCACTATGTTGGCCAACGTGAAGAGCCGTCATTAGAATAACCATTTATGAGATATAGCGATTTAAAAAGTTGGAAAAGTATAGTCATATCATATAAATAATTGTAAATAAATAGTTCTAATTGGGATTTTGGCAATTTCAAAAAGCAGATAAACCTTTGAATGAATATATTTCCGATTGCTGTTGAGCCAATATTTATTTTTACTTGTATTACGACTCAGTGATGTATATAAAGGCAATTGACATGCGTATTATGAAGGACACAACTTTTTGAATTCCTATATAATATCTCAAAAATGGTGATTCTTTGGGGAAAAAATGTGTAAGAACAATTTTTATAAATAATTGCACGATCTACAATTTTAGTCTGATCTATGACAAAACTTATCGTTTAGATGCAAAAAATAACATTTTTACGAACTTTTTTTGCATGTTGACATTGGATATTTTTTTAAAGATGTGGGTTCGATGAGAACTTTTCACATTTCATTTGGAATTCCTGTGTGTGTGTTCGTAACATTCGTACCAACTTTTAGCTCTTTGCGAATGATTGTAACGTTACTCCTATTTTATTGAGCTAACTTCACCGGACTACTTGTTCTTTTTAAGAAAAGTATTCTTAAATAAGAGGAGCTAAACGTTGTTTATATTTGTAGAGAACTGTATTGAAAAAAAACTATAGCTATTATGTGTTCTTTTCAATGTGCCTAAATATACATTTATGTGTGCTTGCATCAAAAATTTAATTTTATATTTTAAAATATAACATGCTTACATTAAAATATTATTTGTACATATAGGTGTAATATGACTATACAGAAAACTTAATGACAAACAAATATTATCACAATAATACTACAAATGCCTACAATCACCACAACTATCTAACAGTTAAAACAATATCACTCATAAGCATATTGAAAAATTGCCTATCATAACATTAAAAATTTGTGTTGCTCATCGTATTAGGTACATTTTTAATTGAACCTATTAAAACATATTGTATATACAAGTAAGCAACTGTCAAATGTCATTGTTTATTTTTATGTAATATTATGATGGGGTCCTAAATGATTCATCATTTTAGTATTTATTTCCATGTGTCAAATGGAACAAAAACGGCAATTTTAGTGTTAGGTTTTAATTTAATAACTAAAAGCTTTTCCTGTTAACTGTCCCCTCTCTTTGAGCCTATCTGTAGCTACACTCGTACTGGCCGCCCGAAATATCTGCAGACCTGTCTATAAATTTAAAAAAAAGTACTAACCCCACCCCAAAAGATTTTTGAAATACGAGAATGCGAGTTTGTTTTTGTATTATTTATTCTTTATTGCATTCCTTAAAACAAAATCATACAAAGGGCGGACCTAATGAAGAATTTGACATAGGTGTAGGACAATATAAAATTAAAAAAGGAGCTAAAAGTACAACTTTGTAATGGCTCGCAAATTTTTATAAATAACATTTAAAAAGATTGTTCTGCAAAAAAATATATTATTGACCTTGGCCAGACCATAGACCTGACTAAGTTGGCTCAAAACAATGTCGGAACCTGAGTTATGCTCCATTCATAATCAGCGCCATCTAACGTGGTACTCTACTACAAAGTGTTTTTTTTAGCTTTCTTACAGATAGCGATATATGGGATAATGCAGGGCTCGCTTCGCTCGCCCTGATAAAAATAATGATTTCCTACATAATATACACATTTAATATGTATTAATAGTATTATAGATGTTTGGAGCCACAATGCAGGTCATGTTAGAGCAATTGTTCATTCTATAATATTAAGTTTCGAAGAGAACGCCATTACAACCCGCGCGGGTGCACGATTAAATCGAACTAGTTTGATATGCCCGCGCCTTCACGGCGGCCATTTGTATGAACGAACTATGACGCGAGTCGTCCGCGAGAAACCCTAAGCGTTTATTGAGTGTTTGTAGGAAGAATCCTACAGACACTCGGTAACTCTAGCCAAGACACTCGAGATGACATGCGACGAAGTGCGAGGAAAGCACGTATTATTCTAGTGAGGTCTGTGTAGATAAATGTCAATTGGAAGAAGAATGTTTAAAGTAAATTGGCAGACGACTGTTAATAGAAGTATCTGAGACATTTTTATGTAATAGAACTCCAACAAAATATATAAATTAGTTATAAATTAACAATGACACTTATATAATAGCCCTAACTAACATTATATAATATCGTTAATTTAATATTTAAACAGTGATAGTAGAGTATAATAAGCAACGACCAAGTCCATTTAATCTTGTACGTTTGCTTTTCAAAGTGCAATTGATCATAATCACTAAAACTTGACTAGTTTCGTTTTTATTATCGAATAAAAATCATTGCACTCTTTTTTAAGAAATAAATTAATCTAAGCCTGCGCGGTCTACAACCTACTTAAATATTTTTTTTTCAACGATAAATTAACGCGAATGTAAAAATGTACTTAGAACATGTAGCACAAATATCATGATTTATTTATAGCTGTCTTATAGTGAAATACTGTATGTAAAACGGTGCGTTATTAACTATTATATAGTGCGAAGAACTATCCATATTGACATATTAGTTTCAACAAGACATGAAATCTTACGGTGAAAAGCAAGATCCATACATACAATTGATCTTTTATTAACTTCAAGTTTGGAAGTACTAATGGGTCCGATTTGGAAGGCCAAATTTAATCAAATACTCGATTTCGGGTATAACGACAATAAAGGGACTACTCTATTTTCGTCGTTATATCCGGAAGTCGTTACAGGCAAAGGTAACAAATTCAATACATTACAGTTGCTACTCCGAATATCACTTTGTAACTGAACCATAAATTTAACTCCGAAACGTACACGCTTCCCTACCTACTTAGCTGGTATCTATAAACAAAAGGTAGAGGTCTCCACACTTGCTGACCATCTGTGTGGATGTAAACAAAAGATAAGAAATGTTTGTGAAAGAAAGAAATCTTTGTGTCTTTGGCGGCCGACTCCGGTCGCAATATCTGCATGGGATTTCTAGGAATTTGTTACAAATTATTCATTAAAAACAGTCGCTACACCCGAACTGGGCGTTACATCCAAAGTCGCTATAGCCACATGAATTTTGTACTAAAATATGCTTTAAATTCAATGGACTTAGATTTAACGTCGCTATAGATAAATGGTCACTACAACCAAGGTCGTAATAAATGAAATCCACTGTAAGAAGTTTATAGCATCGGCAAACCAAATCACAACCACGTCAATATTATTTACATCGGAATGAAATCGGCCGGTTAGTGGCAGCCTTAGACGAACGTATAGATGTTTTATCTTACAAAGTTGGTCTTACTGCGCTACTTAGTAAAGAACACAATAATTATTTTATTACATCTTCTTATTTCTAATTTTTTTTCTCTTGCGCTTACGCACACTAAAACATTGTGCATGTAAACTTTACTACAAGCAATGTAAAGAACTCTTCCCTGCAGACGAACAACGGGCACAGCTAGACCGGCCCATGCAATTATAGTTGTTTTACACGACATTTTATTGTTTTTGTAAGTTTATAAAAATCGCATGTCATCATCTCGCGTCTCGCGAAACTCCATAAGCGATGTACCACAGTTAGTTTTTCACGCTGTGCTACAAGATTAAGCCGTGGACATTGTAGAGCCATGCTGCAACTATAACATAGCGGTAGCACGAATGGGTCGGCTCGACCGGGGAAGGATCACGCTCTCACAGAACACCAGCGTAAAAAAAACAGCTTAATGCTACTGTGTTTCGTATGGTGGGCGTAAAGAACCGGAGATCCTTTTTACTGGGAACGAACTATTCCATCTTAGACAGGGGTCACAACGCATCTTTTTCTTTTTTTTTTATAGAATAAGGGTGTCAAACGAGCATACAGTCCACCTGATGGTAAGAGGTTGTTGTGGCCCATAGACATCTACATCTATCTTCGTTTATCTTATCTGCATTTTGATTCTTAATTGAAGATAGATGTAGATGTCTATGAAACACAGCATTAACTTACCATCAGGTGAACTATGTGCTCATTTACCACCGTATTGCTATTAAACAAAAAATTACGAGTTTTAAATAAAAATTGTGTAATCCTATATGTGGCGTAGACGAATAATACCCAGACAGGCGACTGGCAGCAGGGTCAGAGGTGCGGTACGTCTGGTATTGCGATTGTTATTATTGTCCGGCTGCCAAGCGTTACGACTAAGGCCAATTGTCCATACCACGTGATAGGCCTCTGTCCAACATAGAAGTTTTACAATTGTTGGAGAGCTTTAAAAATAAATTGGCTCGAAGATATCTTGGGTATGGTTTCATTCCAATGTGAATAAAGATCAACTTGAATGAACCTACTTTTACAGATTTTATCGCGTTCAATTTAAGTTGTTTCAACTGCTTTGCAGTTCTCTCGAAACATCTTAAATAAAATGTAATTTTATTCAATGTGTGGTGTTCGCTCAAATATAAGAAATTATTATGTAAAAATCAATTTATCATTTTACTTATTAAGGTGAACATAATGGAATGAAACGTTTTAAAGCTTGTTTTGCATTTCTCTCGCAAGCTTTCCCTTTTGCCTCTAACTGGATCTATCTTATTCTATTTTGAACTAATCGTGATTGTAACGAATATATTGATCTACATATTTGTTTTAAATTAAATTAGATTACCTACATTATCTAATACATCAATATACTCAAGGTTAGTTACATTTCGATAATAAAAACGTATTTTAAATATATTGCATACTTCAATTCATCGTTTAAAAACTGTACTATGTTAATTATGTCTAAAAAATAAAAAATACAATATCTGTATAAATATGATAGCTAAATAAAAACCTAATATTACTTTGATATACTTAATTTGAAAGTATTAAAGGCATCCTACACTTTTAAACATGTATAATTATGTAAATATACGGTATATAATATACATGTTAATAAGTAGTACGGTATTTTTTTTATCAAAAAGCGGAATGAATTATCTCTTTAAAATGCGTTCTTTTCAATAAAATCCTAACCTATTCGACAGAGAAATTTAAGTCGTTCACAAAAACATGTATATATAGTTAGACTATAATATAATTTGGTAATAGAATACGGAAAGCAAAACTATTATCTAAAGAGAACTACTATTTTATACTAATCATGTCCTACGAACTTTATTATTTAGTTTAATTTATTTAAAAAAATCACTAGAAATTTAGCCTCGATGACTGTCAAATGCACAGCCAGTAGCACCTTATATCGGCGAAAAACGCACGAACATACCAAATGGCAATAGCTATGCTACAGCCAAAGTTGTAGTTGACCCGGTGTTGCCAATCCTCATACCAAAGTTATCGATAACGATAACGATACGTAATCGTTTAATATTAATAAGGAGGTATAAATGGAAGATGCGATTCGAAATTTAAAAAATGCCGCTGAGATAGTTATTTTACTTTTAGTTTGAAAAGCATTTAACTATGGATATCTTCATGAAATAAATGACACGTCGGAACATTTTCTACCGATTTTGTAGAATTTTTGACAGAGAATATAAAATTGCTGGGCAAAAGGAAGTCTCGATTTGTTTGATTACAATGTAGCTGCACTTACAGCCTCGTGCAATAATTTAATCATCATAATAAATAACGGAGGCAAGTACGTAGGAGCAAAGATAGCGCGCACGTCGCGCGAGGTGAGTGCTATAAGTCGGTCTCAGTCCACTGCTAATCTCCTCGATGCAATCGTCGCGCAGCTGCGGTATTTCGTCGATACAGCCACACCTGAAAAAAAATAATTTGTAAATAATAATAATATGATAAATTCAAGGCTGGTATCACCCTAATAAGTAATTTCTCTGGCCAAGCATTAGTGCATGCAATATCGTGCCACAGTTTAAAGCAGGTGGCAGTATTTTTAGTAGCGTATGTTTCACTTCTTTGTTTGAAATTATAGCTATTTGCTATCAAATTAACTGTTGGCTTGTTGAGACTTCAATATTATTAAAAAAAGAACAGTAACAGGGCATAGGTATTAGCGATGGGCGATTATTACTAAAACTAATAGAATTAGTCGATTGTTTAGTTTAATCGATAGAATTCGATAACAATCCACGTTAGTCGATTGTTTCCGACTAACGGACGACAATGACGGACCCGGTTACAGTCTTAACTTTAACTACTAATTTGTAGCGCAGCGCACCTACGGTACGTACTATTAAATTAGTAGTTAGTAATACGTATATACGTACGTACATACGTACGTATATACGCTTACGTTAAGTGGCCCTCAATATTTTTTTATTGCGAATTTATAGATTTTTATGGAACAAAGGGTCGTCGGAAATGGCAGAACGTCTGTCTGGCTGGTCCGTAAGCTACATATATAGTTTATATTTGAATGCCTTTATTTGAGTAAAGTTTATGTTCAGATGAAATGAGTTGCATCGTTTTATGGACGACGGACCTTATGGTTAGATAATACCACCGTATGGTTCAGGTGTAAAAGCAGTCTATGGATACAATGATTAAGGAAATAAATATTACAAGTATATAGAAATTACATTATATAGTTTTTGTTGATTACTGTTCTATATTACAATTAGAACTAAGAAAACATCATGAAGAAAACGAATGTAGAAGTAATCAGGATTTTAAGCACATATGAATTTTGCCAATTTGCACTATAAGGCTCGGTGCACTTGATTCTTCACCATCTTCTTAGAAATAAGAGACCTTTGCCCACCACTAAGTATTAAAGGTATACTTTAGTAAATTTATCCATTCATTAATTATTTAGTAAATTCAAAATGTACATCTACATATAAATGGATTGATATCTAAATAAATAAAAATTATTATTTTTTACTTTCTTGCTTCCAATCAATCTCTGATCAAACATTTACAGTGACAGTGAGTGTTTGTTTGATATAGTATGGCTGAATAATAACTTACTTGGAAGAGAATAATGATATCTAAGGAGACTTGAAGGCTACCACACACCCAGAATTGTGTTGGTGCATCTCTTATTACAAAATATGCAGTCTTGAACATGTCACCAAACGTCCACATTATCACCATACAAATACTGAGAATTAAAAAAATACGCAAGTGTTCAGCTCACAAAAATTAAAAACAAAGATTTTTAGGCCCTTACAACTAAAATCAAAATGTCGTAGATATAAAAAAAAGTGTGGTCTATTTCTGTTTTCTGAAGTTAAAAAGAGCCAGTTACCTAATATCAAAATTACAACTATCTCTGAAACTTATGGGCATAACCTATGTATGTACAATTTATGACAGATATATATACGTGGTAGAGCCATTTATACGTAGTACAGCCATGCTGCAGCTATATTAGTAATATAGTTGTAGCACGAATGGGTCGGCTCGACAGGGGAAGGGCCACACTCTCACAGAATACCAGCTAAATGCTGCTGTGTTTCGTATGGTGAGTGTAGAGAACTGGAAACCCTTTTTACTGGAAAAGAGGCATTCCATCTTAGTCCTCACGGGTGACGACGCATCTGCATTTTGATTCTTTATTGAGGATAAATGTAGATGTCTATGGGTCACAGCAGACACTTACCATCAGGTGGACTGTGCACGTTTGACGCCCTATCCTATAAAAAAAAGATGACCACTTACACTTTTCTCGCAACATTTGTGCGAAAATAAGCACAGAGTACATTAATATAAAATGAAAGGAACTAAAGCTGTTATCCTGCTAGTGCAATAACAGCAGGTGGTTCGCGTGATGGCTGACGGCACGAAGCGACGGTGTCGGTCGACATTTTTGGTTACACAAAGCAACTTTCATGGTCACGACATCAAATTTGCTCGAAATTAGAAATGTTTTTTTTTTTTTATAGGATAAGGGTGACAAACAAGCACACAGTCCACCTGATGGTAAGTGGTTGCTGTGGCCCATAGACATCTACATCTATCTTCGATTACGAATCAAAATACAGATGCGTTGTCACCCGTGAGGACTACGATGGAATGCCTCGTTTTCAGTAAAAAGGGTTTCCGGTTCTCTACACTCACCATACGAAACACAGCAGCGTTATGCTGCTATTTTACGCTGGTATTCTGTGAGAGCGTGGTCCTTCCTCGGTCGAGCCGACCCATTTGTGCTACAACCATAATATAGCTGCAGCATGGCTCTACCACGTATAAAAATGTAATTAAATGGAGAAATTATTTCCGTGTAGTGCCGGGTATAAGAATACCCACTACCCCATATTTTCCAGCGGGTGTCGTAAGAGGCGACAGAAGGAATGGCAATACACCCCCCCCCCCCCCCCATGACGAGAGTTACAAAGGAACGGCCCACAGTCCCCATTCCTGGCTACGGTGGCGACCATGGTAACGGCGAGGCAGGCGGTGCTAAGAATCTCCGGTGGAGGTTCGGTTGTCACCTAAGACGATTCGACCTGGCAACATAATATAACGCACACACCCTGAGGACTGACGAGAAGATCCTGGAGCTGGAAGAAGAGACAGACAAGTTGCGCTGAGATATTAGATAATAGAATAGTAGCAACTGAACCCAAGGGACAACTGGCCGACTACATGGAGTAAGAGGGTATCTTTACGATGAACTTTTTCTTCCAGAAGCAGTCCCACAGAATTTTACCTGGTCAAGCCATGACGGTTCGACAAAAAATACAGGTTCAGCGCAGTCTCAGTGATTGCGAGGGTCAAAGCTTTCAGTAATCACCGAATGGTGAAAGACCCATTGAAAGTTAACGTTAAGTTGGAGAGGTCACATAAAATGAAGTTTGCTCCGTCCCCCACTTGCCCTAATCTAAAGTCTCGAAAAATTCAGCTCGTGTTACAAAATATTTTTCAGTGCCTAGAAGACTGCATTGCAGCGGACGATATGAATGTCAAGCTCGTGGAAACTGTCCATGCGGTCGAAGCTAAGTTTTGCAAAACCCGTCGCAAAAGAACACAATAACACTTCAATCACACTCTTAATCGTATGGCTGTTAGACGGGAAATGAAGCTGCAGTCTTCAGCAGATATGACAGCATACAGGCAACTAAAGACACATCTTCAAATGCATCGGCGGAACATACGCAACTTCAACACAGCACATATTAGAGAAGCGGAACCAGGGCTCCAAACTCTGTCAGAGATGTGTCTGCCAGAAAGAGCCAACTGTCGAAGTTGAAGTTTGAATGTGGCAGCATAGTTTCTGGGACCCCTGGGATTTTGAGTGAGATTGTGAGCTTCTATTGGCAGCTGTACACGTCATCGTTGGAGGCACACGAAAGTATGAGTAACGATGCAACGGCTATATAGCTCGAAGAACCGACAACCCATGGGGAAGCAAGGTTCTCGAGTGGCAGCGTCATACCGGTAGGCGAAGTGCGTGGCAGCCCCACACTAGATGGAGTGACGACCTGGTAAGACATGCAGGAAGTCGATGGATACAGGTGGCCCAGGACCGTGCTTTGTGGCATTCCTTGGGGGAGGCCTATGTCCAGCAGTGGACTTGTAAAGGACTGTAATGATGATGATGATTCAATTACATTTTCTTTTACATATTTTTTTTATTTCATGAGATTTGAAGATCGCGTAAAACCAAATAGTGCTACTGAATAACAAACATCCTCACGGATTAGGCAGGGTTTTTTGTACTTGAATGGATCAGCTTTACCAACTTTTATTTAATTTAAAATAATTTATATGATGAGTAAAAAAATTTAAATTTAAATAATAGTAAGTAATACTAGGCAGAAAATTTCAATAAAATATAATACCTCATCCCTTCTGTACTTTTATTCTGACAATTTTTAACTATCTGTGGCGCGCCAAGCATCGCTTCAGTGAACACGGCGAGGAAGCCGATGAGTTCGACGAAGGGGGAGACCTCTATCAGTAGGTATGTGATTGCTGCACCAAGTACAGAGAACACTAGCATACAATCTAGGTAGCTTTGGAAGTCAGTCCACGCCCAGAAATATTTACGGTCCATATCTGTAATAATAATTAGTGTAATAGATAGCTTGTTTGACAAAAGATTGTAAAAACATTACCAAGGATGATGTAAAGGTCAAACGTTGATAACACGGCAAAATTAGACATATTATTCTATTAATTTTCATTCATTATAAATAAATTAATATTTTAATTTACAAAATAATTTGAAAATGGCAACTTCTTTTATTTTAAAGGTATAAAAATTAAATAGATTTTAAAATACTATGTTTAAATTACAACTTTAAAATAGACATATTAACGATTATTTTTCATAATTGAGATAAGTATACATAATAAAAGAATAACATTATTAATTGCATCAAGTATATTATTCATATTTTAATATTATATATGTTTATGAATAATCATTTCAGCATTGTAACTGTTGATTAATTGTGTATTTTGTGGTAATCAGTAAGTAAAAATCTATATCTTCTTTCTGATTACTTAACAATTGCTTGTTTTATACAAACTTAACTAATATAGGTTTTTTGGGTAAATCTAGTGTTTTTGCTATATAATATATTAATAAAATTTGTAACAGAATTGTACTAAGATAAACTAATAAATGTTATTATCTATGGAAGTAGGAAGTCTTATACAATGTTTAAGTAAATTGACATTAAAAGATAACAGTCTCACATGTGACCTAATTATTGCTTTAACAAGATAGTAGTACAATAAATTGTTCAACTTGATTATAATGGTCAGTATTGATAACAGGGGCAATGAACCATGTTAGGAATAAAAAGAAATATGATATAGTTAAGGTTACTCTATATGTATATAATAAAAAATCATTCAATTTTTTTAGATATTTACCTAATCAAAATTATTAGTCTATTTACAGCATATTTATTTTTTTGGAAATTGCAGTCCAACTAATAAAGATACCGAACACTAGATATATTTCAAGTGAGGCGAAACTATGCTCAACTTATTGTAAGACCATAGGTAATAATGTAATGTCTTCCAGACCAAATTTCGGTCACCGTGGCCATTCTCAACGTAGACTAGCCATTTGTGCAGAACTGGAAAGTGCATGAATGTACACTCACCTCACTCTAGTATAACGGGACTGCAATCCAACAGGACCGGAGAGAGACCAGACACAGAACTAACAGCTTTTTGAGCTTTCTGAGGCATGGGATTTGAAACGCCAACACTAACTGACTCCGGATTGTTACTGAGAATTTCTTGACAAAAAAAATCCAACAGTGATTTTTAAGCAGTAAACCCAATAAGGGATTTTATAAATTATTATTATTTTACAGGATTGTAAGAACGCACTTTCATGCACACTTCACGAGTCACTTGAAATACATGTAGTAAATACATCTTTCTTTGTTGGTCTGAATGGAAATATAAAAACACAAATATGTAATTTGCCACGAAAACATGCAAAGAAGCATTATAATGGAATGATAAATATTAAAACAATAAAAAAAGTGTTAATTTGATGAAAACACAGGCACATCTATTATATTCTAAGAAAGAATGTGTACTACATTTAATTTATTAATTTGCAAAAATAAAAGGGCTACTTATACAAACTATAATAATTGAATAATTTGTTCAGAAAATAAAATAAAATATAAATGGTTGAAATAATATATTTCATTTTAAGTAAATTAAAGCACAATATAAATTTTATAATGAACTCTTGATCAGTTTATATGCACATAAGAGTATGAAATCCTATAGGTTTTGTTATTTATAGAAATAACTATTTATGTTTTTTCTTTATAGGATAAGGGTGACAAACGAGCACACTGTCCACCTGATGGTAAGTGGTTGCCCACAGACATCTACATCTATCCTCTATTTCAAATCAAAATGTAGATTAGTAGAATGTGTTGTCACACGTGAGGCCTAAGATGGAATGCCTCATTTCCAGTAAAAAGGGCCTCCGGCCACTTGCACTCACCAAGCGAAACGCATAGGTAAATTTTTACTTCACGCTGGTTTTCTGTGAGGTCGTGGTACTACCCTGGTTCGAGCCGGCCCATCCGTGCGACAGCAAAAGCTGCCACGTGGCTCTACCACTGTTATGTTCATAAAAGCAAATAGTTCTTAAGTAACCCTGATCAAAGTAACCCGTGAATAATTAATTTGATCAAAGTAAATGTGGCTTTATTAATTAGTTTAACTTTTCCATACAAACCGTCAAAATACCAAATGTTATAATTATCATAAGAAAATTGAAATGAACCCATGATGAAAAAGCGATACAACATAATAGGTTGCGGCAGTAAATTAAAGAAAACCAGATGTTATTTACAAATGTCACAGCATCAATGTGCACCAAGGTGGTTCTTGTGACACTCACCATAGAAGCGGTGCGGTTTCTCCCTTCCCGTAATGCTGCTACGTTGATCCAACCAGCGCGCCGTTTCATCTGGCTGAGCTGATCCATTTACACAACACAATAGTATATATAACATGAATATTGCACCTAATGCCACCATCAATTACACCAACCACCAAACAAAACATAAAATAATGTTAAAATATAGAGGATAGAGTAAAACTAAGGAAAATTAGTAGGTATGTTAAAAACTGTGGTTGCTGAAATCAGTTATAGAAGTGAACAGGATAAAAATAAATAGAAAAAAATTACACTAATTGTAATTAGTAGATTATTTGTGTGGTTATTAATACCAGATAAACATGTTAAATATTTAAAAATAAATAGAATTAAAAATAAAGTAATAAATCAATTTACAAAAATAAAATATTGAATCAAGTACATATTTTATTAATTTACCAATTTAAGGAATAAAGTATAGCAAGTACAAATGTAAATTTATAGCTACTGCATAATAATAATGGCTAAATATATACAAACCTGTAAATATTCTCTCCCTTGCTCTGACAATTTGATTTTTTTTACGAACATTGACACAGAGGTGAATCATGACAAACATTGTAATATTCATCACTATACTCTGTATCAATAGAGGCAGTTCATAACGTTTTCCAAACCTGAAATACCAGATTATCTTTTAGATTGATATCCTATATATTCATATATTTGATTTGATATACTTGCATGCATATAATATACAGTAATTGAGCAAATAATTTCAATATAGAGTACCAATATATAAAGTAGCCAATTTATTTGGTAGTGCAAAATGAGAACACAGCAGCTATTGATGGCATATGATTGGTGTGTATAGTCTGCTTTTCACTAAGGGATATATATTACATCTCGAGATATAAATTAATATTGCTCACTATACTTTTAAATGGAACCGTTTATACTGAACTATAATATATATTACATCTCAAACTACATATAGTTTTTCGATTGACCAAGCAATATTTTCATATTATATTTCGCCCCCTGCACCCCACAAACCGTTCAGCACCGCCGCAGAATAGTGTGCGTGGTACACGGGATAATCCAATGACAAACGCACACTGGTTAAAACATATATCTCACAGTGTGAAAATCGCGGGATATAATTTATAGTTCAGGATATAATATATATTATATCCCATAGTGAAAAGCCTGCTTCAGTCCACTTTTCCATGCTGTATATTAATTTGAGCATAGAGCTACACTATCGAAGAGCACACATATTTCAATCACGGCTGCCCAGTGCTCGAATTATATGTCAGGAACTCAAGCAAGTAATAAATAAAATATTAAAAAATAATAATTACTACATTTTTATGTACCTAAGCTATTCAGTTTAAAAAATTAGATTGTCATTAAAAATTTAATGTGAGGTATAAACTGGCAATTATTTTTGGAAGATTTGCCCAATGCCCATATTCATTGTATACGCAATTGGGCAGGGTGGGCCTATGAGTGCAGAACCTACATAGCTCAGACTTGTAACGTCACTCTCCTTACCAGATGAGGCCATACCCTATTTAGAAACAACTGTTTGGTGAAATTTGTAGTAGAATATTAGTAAAAAAAGGATAATAAGGCAGCAATACACACAGTCACTCTCCTTACCAGATGAGGCCATACCCTATTTAGAAACAACTGTTTGGTGAAATTTGTAGTAGAATATTAGTAAAAAAAGGATAATAAGGCAGCAATACTAAAGCAATATCACTGACCAAAGTATATAAGGGTTTAATAATCGAAACAATCCAAGTGACGAAATATTACTTACCAAAATAGAATTCGCAATGTGTTAGCTATTAAAAGCGTTAAACAAACATAAAGAGAAAATCCATCTGCATCTTGAGATCGTTTGATTTGTCTATATTGTGGAATGTAGGGTGCTACACCTCCAATAATCATAGCACCTGCTGCACCCCAGCCAACCAGGTGACCAACGGTCAAACCCAACTCATCTGATATAATCCAATCCATATTTTATAAAAAAATAATATCAGACTTGCAATTTGTATGGTAGATAAAATTATATTTCCATGATCGTATCACACTAAATGATTTTAAAACTACTATTTTATTCAAAAAATATGTCTATGTATTCTTTTAGTTAGCTACAATTGAATTAACATTATAGTACAAAGAACTTAAACGAGAAACAAAACTTCCTTAAAAATTACTATACTTTGAAACAAAATATGTCTTAATTATTATTTTATCTACTAACTATTACGTGCATTTTAAATGCACAGTATTACTCTACCATAGATAAATATATATGTAGCAAGCTACAGATACAAAGAGTATAGTTACTGTCCTATACAGGAATACAGATACGACAGTGATTTTTAGTCAAGTTTCCCAACTACGCCTTTTGGCGCTGCAGTCGTCCATTTTGACAGATGAATAAAAAAGTCGCCCATTTTGACAGATGAGTAAAGACTCCTGTAAAAAAATATATAAAAATATAGCTTAGAGATTGCAAGCACACATCCTTTAAATCATCGATATCGATATTTAGCGGTGTTCTTATTTTATCGATATCGACAGAAGTGCATTATACAGGAATAATAATATTACTTAATGAAACACTTATAATACATTAACATTTATTTTTTATTCATCAACATTAAAAATAACAAGTATGCTCAAGATGCTAATAGCGTAATATAGCATAAAATCGACTCCGCGCTATAGAAGCATATTCTAGGTTGCTACAGATCAGAGATTTTTAGTGAGTAACTTTATTTATTTATTTATTTCTACGTCTGTCTTTACGTACCTAATACGACAGTGTAGGCACATAAAACTATCTAATTTAACCGGTTCAGTGCGGGAGACACGCCAGGCGTGCCATCGATTACTTTTGTGTGTGGCGTATGACACGCGAGTCGTGTCTTTTTAAAATCGTTATTACTCGCTCAAATTGCTTTTTTGGAAAATTTATCCAGAACAAAATATTCATTATTTTGCGAGTAGTTCATGCATGCAGCTTCGTTTCTGGATATTTTGAAAAATTTGAAATTTTTTGGGGTTGACAACCTTTTTTTAACGTGTACATGGTACTATTTTTACTTTGTGGGTTTTAAATCATGTTATGGAAAAATTGTCTAATAAGTAACAAATAATAGCACTCATTGCGATCGCTCACAAACTCAAGTTGTAAATAAATTTCTGAAAAAGAAGTCTCCTGTAAAAAAAAAAACAATGCGTTTGTCTTATTGTTTAATTTTGCGTGGTAGAACCATGCTGCAGCTATATTATGGTTGTAGCACGAATGGGTCGGCTCGACCGGGGAAGGACCACCCTCTCACAGAAAACCAGCGTAAAATAGCAGCTTAACGCTGCTGTGTTTCGTATGGTGAGTGTAGAGAATCGGAGACCCTTTTTACTGGCAAAGAGGCATTCCGTCTTGGTCCTCACGGGTGACAACGCATCTGCATCTTGAGTCTTTATTGAGGATAGATGTAGATGTCTATGGGTCACAGTAACCGATTACCATCGGGTGGACTGTGTGCTCGTTTGTCACCCGATCCTATAAAAAAAATTTGCTTAAAATGGTTGAACTGCCATCTTATTACTATCATATGGCCGAATAGACCTACGAAGTACCATGTGCTCTTGTGATATGGTATAAGGTTTATTTTTGCTTGAAACAGTTCGAAACCGTTAATGCATAAAAAAAGTTCGCTAATAAATAGTCTTTTGTCAATCCGCCGCCGTATAGCGCCGGCGTTTTTTTCCTTTTGAAAACACTTGTTTTGCTATTCTTACTAATTAGACGTTTTCAGATCTACTTTACTTTTAACATTTGTAAATGTCAATGAATAATATACCCTTTTTTAAATTAAGGTTCTTCATTGTTTGATATTTACAAATGTTATTATTAGGTGAAAATTTAATTTAATAAAAACCAAGGTTTCCAGGGTGATTTAGCTGTACCTACTTATATAAATGATTTTTTTATAACAACAAAAAATAGTACAAAAGGTTTGTAATCTCTTCATAAAAAAAGTCACTTTCTCTCAATTTCAAAGAAAACACGTAAAATAACACGTAGTTACCCACTAAAAACAAGTATCCTTCCATTTGTAACTTATGTTTGATGTCAAATAAACTTAATTAGGAAATAAACTTATTGTCTGTGGCGCTTGACACGCCCGGCGTGTCATGCAATATTTGTTCGCCGCCACAGCTAAAAGTTGTCGAAAATTGGTGCCGCAACGAATCGGTTAATAAGGACAGAACACAACTTATCTACTATTATAACATAATACATAATATAATGTTACTTAGGTAAATTCACCCAAGGAACAGCAGAATAAATTTACATCCTGAGCTACTTTATTTAGTGTGCAGCACTCGGGTCAGTGGGCCTCGTTTAGAAGGTACGTGCGTGCGGTGTCTCGAATGGTGGGGGCCGCTTCCGGCACCACACGTACCTGTCTGGCACACACAACATAGCCATTCGCAATATCGCCTTGTTATATACTTGGTTTGCGGGGACCTGAAACAGCATTTACGTTTCAGGAATCCGAACATTCTATTTAACCACCGTCATCATTACAGCGCTTCACAAGTCCACTGCTGAACGTAGGCCTCCCCCAAGAAATGCCACAAAGCACGGTCCTACGCCACCTGCATATCCAGGTCGTCACTTCATCAACATTTTATTTACTTTAACATTTTTTTCTTAACCTAAGACTTTTATACTTCTTTAAGGCCAATTTTTGGGGTTCACCCATTTTAGATACATATTTTTCATCAAAATCACCCTTCAATATTTTATTATTTATGTTGCACTAATTGTTCCCATGTAATGTAATTAAAATATTGGTGAAAAAGTTTTTTTACAATTAAGGCATGCTTATCACACCCTAGGCAGGAAAAACTGAAAGTGCTCAATATTTTTCTTTTCAAATTACCATTTATATTACTTCCAATACAGCTATAATTCAATTAGTTATGAATAAAGTGAGTACCATTCCTGTACAAGATAAGGAATTTTTCGTTAGGGTATGCCAAATTATTATTTTTTAACAATTTATACTCTCTAAATTTAATGTAAGAGTGAATGTTTGCCTCCGTACTGCTAATATATGTTTTGATGCAATCCTTACAACGAATCGCTCTCGTTATTTTCCGACAAATGCTTCCAGCAGTGTTAGCTGAGCAGTGGACCATAGTTTAGCGAAGCGGCTCGAGCAGGTCGAGGCCCGAAGGGCCGTAGTGGAGGAGGCTTACACTGAGCTTGTGGCCTCGGATGCGGAACAGGGAGTCCTAGACTCCTGCCTCGTGGACTACGAGAAATTTTTTTCGCTCGCGGATGACTTGATCGAGGCGGGGGCCAAGTATGATAATGAAGCGCGTGATGCTCGGCTGAGTGGCCTGCTCAAGTCCCCTCGGAAGCAGCCCACGCAGCCTGTTGGGACGACTCCCAACGCTGGACCTGCCAAGGTTCTCCGGGGTCCTCTCCGACTAGATGACCTTTGTTGGCCTTTTTGATAGCCTAGTGGACGCCCGGAGGGACTTGACACCAAGCCAGAAGATGGCGTACCTCCTAGCCTCACTGGAGGGGGAGGCCCTGGGCGTTGTCGGCCATTTGAAATTGTCGGACGACGCCTACCAGACCGCCCGTGACCTCCTCGCCGTACGGCAACGTCCGGCGAATTGCGGACGAATACGTTAAGCAGCTTCTAAACCTCCCGCTGCTTAGGGACCGGGCCAGACTACGTCCGGACATCGTTAATCCAGTAGTGGTGGCCTGTGATTCGTTGAGGCGGCTGGATTTACCGGTGGACGAATGGTCCTTTTTGTTGCTTCACATCGTGCTGTCCCGCCTGCCTCTGGAACTTCGACTCCATTTTGAGGAGAGGTACGGCGGGGATGGCGCCTCCTATATTTCGCCCTTCAGGGACCTGGTGCGGTTCTTGGAGGAGCAGTGCCGGCAGATTGAGAACGCAGCGGGCACCGTCGACGACCTACGGGTTGCCAACCGAGCCGTGTCCAGGGAGAAGCGGAATCCGCCGGGCAAGTCGGCGCCAACCCCCCCAAGGCCGAGCGGAGCTCCCGCGTGAGGGCGCGGCGCTCTACCAACTTATAGCGGCCTAGCGGCCAGGGAGGCGCCCCACTGCTCCTATTGTCGATCATCCGATCACCGGGTGATGTCGTGCCCGAAGTTGTTGGGTAAGCCAGTACCGGCGAGGCGAACTATCGCCAAGGAGCACCGCTGGTGCTACTCGTGCTTGGAAAGGCACCTCCAACGAGACTGCTCGCACCAGCGGCCCTGTCCGCACTGCCAGGGCAACCACCATGCCGTTTTGTGCCTCGGTGCAAACGGGGTCTCCTCTCGGGGCTCTGCCGGGCCCTCGAACCCCACGGGCAGGGGCGCTCAGCCACGCCCTCTGTCGGGCGATGCTCGGCGCTCGCCTGCCGGGCACCGTGCCCCTGGGTTTGAAGGGGGCCCCTCCCCCGGCCAGTCGGGGGGTCGTTCCCCCAGGGGCGGGGGGGTCGCCGCCCCCCCCTCAGCGTGTTGAGAGGAACTTCACGGCCACTCAGCGGTCAGCTAGACCCTTCTCACCCCCATTAACTGAGCGGCCGTGACTGGAGTACCACCCTCCCCTCTTTGGTCAGTACCGGTACTACGGGGTTCCTGCGACCTCTAATCTGTCCCGGGCCTCAAGGCCGAGGTTCCCCGAAGCTCCCCAGGTCGGCCAGTTCGGTGAATTCCAACCACGGGTCATTGAGATGCCGCTGGAATGCCGCTTTCGGGACCCCCGGTTCGAGTGCCGGTACGATGGAGGCAGCCCCAGCTAGGTAGCTGCCGCCCTAGCTCCCACCATGGCCGCCTCCACTGATCCTCTGAGCTGTCAACAGTCCACTTGTCAAACTGTTCTATTGCCGACGGCCTCAGTGAAGGTGTAAAACGCGAGTGGCGACTGTTTAACGGTTCGCGCTCTGTTGGATTCGGGTTCACAACG